TTGTTTCTCAGTTGCTAATAATTCAAAAACCTTTTGTCTAATATGTGTTGAAAGCTAAAGCATGCCTATTGTCTAAAAGGGAAGTTTATTTTCCTTTTTGGCAGGGAAAAACATATGTCATCCAGAATTCTTTACCTTAAAATCTTTTCTAATAAAGAAACAAATGTGTAGTGCATTCTATGTTGCTTGGGGAAGTAGTATTTGTCTTATTCTCTATTTTGTGAACATTTTGTTTCCAAGTGTTGCACTGGTGATAAAAGGAAGATTATATTAAAATAGAACTCATTTGTGCCGCACATAATTGCCTGCATGCATAGAGTTCTAGGAATTCTATCCTGATTATCACAGAATTTCTGGTAAAAGCAAAGGTTTTTCATTATGTTATGAAGTGTGTGGAGAATTGTGTTATTTATATAGATGCATAGTTTTATGGAATATGAATGTCTCAGAGGAAAGATAATTCCTCACTTAAGGTATTTGGTGCTATAGATACAGTATTTAAAATCTTGTTTGTCCTGTTGAGTTCTGCTTTCAAGTTTCTGATTTAGCTTGATTAAGTGAGAAATACAATTTTGAAAGAGTCTTTATCTTTCACTCATTCAGTGAACTGTTATTAACTATTGGCTCCAGCGAGATGTTCATGATAAAGCAGGTGTCTCAACCACAGTGTTGTTGACATTTGGGGCTGGACCATTCTTTGTTAGGGGAGGCTGTCTTATGCATTATGTTCAGTGGCATCCCTGGTCCCATTAGCATCCCCCCTTCCTTCATGACAACCAAAAATGTCTCCAGACAGTGCCAAATTTCCTCTGGGGAGAAAAATTGTCACCCAAGTGGAAAGGCATTGATGGTAATGAGAGAGAACAATGGGTGTTGGAGGTGGGTGGGAGGCAAGCATGAGAAGGGCAGTTGGGGTGGAAAATATGAATGGATCTGAGAGACATTAAGAAGGAAGAATAGAGAAGTCTTGTGACTGGGAAAATGTGTGGACTGGGGGAGAGGGAAGGATTAGATTCTGGTTTGAGCAGCTAGAGAGATTGTGGTGCTTTTACTTAATGAAAAAAACAAAGGAGGATGAGGTGTGCAAGAGAAGGTGAGCTCAGCTTCAGGTGTGGAGTGTGAGTGGGGGCAGGGTGGTAGACATGTTCTCCGGGAAGTGGGTTCAAGAGTCTGGAGAGTAGAAGCGAAGTCAGGACTGAGACGTGGGATTTCAGAGGCAGTCTGAGTAGTCAAGGTCAGGCAGAGTTGACTTTTCGGAGAAGGTCATTCACCTGCTGGAGTAAAGGAGGAACTGGATGATTAAAATGCAGTCTGATTGTTTTGTTGGAGATTCTCAGGTAGTCCACTAAGGTCAAGAAGAGAGAAAACTAAAAAAACAAGATTCAGAAACCTTTCAGTATTGAGAGATACTGAATTGCAAAGGTGATGGGGGAGGAGGAGAGTTGAAAGAAGAGAAAAAGAAGGGATATTTAATTCAGACAGGTAGGTAAGAGTGAAGAGAAGATTGCTTATTCATCTAGTGTTTATTGAATACCAGTATCATTACATGATTTTAATTTCAAAGAAGCTGCAAAATTCACACATTGTTTTGCAACCCACTTTCTTATTCCACATCTTAAGCATGAAAAATTTCAAATATACAGAAAAGTTGAAAGAATTTTACAGCAACACCCATATATCCATCATCTAAATTATATAATTAAAATTTTACTATAACTGCTTGATTACAAATCTGTCCATAGTATCCATCATTAAGGCACCTTATTTATTTATTTTTTCTGTATTGATTTTTAGGAAGGGAGAGGGAGAGAGAGATAGAAGCACTGATGAAAGAGAACATCCATTGGCCACCTCCTGCAAGTCCCCTATTGGGGATTTGACCCACAACTTGGGTATGTGTCCTGACTGGGAATCAAACCCTGGTGCATGGGTCTGGGTCGACGCTCAACCACTGAGCCACACCGGCTGGGCAAGGCATCTTATTTATTTGATGCATTTTAGAGTAAGACGCAAGGATCAATACATTTACTCCAATTGTGTATGAACTGGAGTTCAACATTTGTTTAAAGTTTGCCAATCTAGTTGTTTTTATAGTATACAAAAGTTCATATCCAATTCTCTGTCAGAACATGGATAGCGCTGCATTTTATTTTAGATACAGTTTTTGTGACCTTTCAGGGATGCTAATACTCTTTTACCAAGAACACTGCTGGATCAGATCCTTGAACACAGAGGCTGGCCACACTTGTGTATTTATCTTCTATGTCCTGGGACCTAGTATGCAGCTGGGCACCAATTCAGATCTCTTAATTATGTGTTAAATGTGTTTTTCCAATATGATATATATATATTTTTTATCCTCACCTGAGGACATTTTTTTGTTCAGACAGAGCGGGAGGTAGAGAGAGGGAGAGAGAGAGAGATAGAGAGAGAGAGAGAGAGAGACATCAACGTGAAAGGGACACATGGAGTGGCTGCCACCCACAAGATCCAACCAGGGCCAGGGACAAACTGCAACTGAGGTACGTGCCCTTAGGGGGAACCAAACCAGGGTCTCTCTGGACCGCAGGCCGACGCTCTAACTGCCGAGCCAAACCGGCCAGGGCAATATGATATTCTTTCTTGATCAAATGGAGTTAAGTTTAAGCCATGTCCCAGGCATTTGGGGACTATTAACTGGCAAGGAATGCTTTGCAAACCTATGCAGTTTGCCTTCATGATGTCCTTACCCATCCCTGAAAGGGTAAACCATGTTTATTATAAGGAATTTGGGCTCTAAATTTGTAGGTTCAAGTATTGCTTTTGCTGTTATGTGACCTTAGACAAATCTCTCACTCTGATCTTACTCATTGATTCAACTGGGTTGAGGGTACCTACCTACATCTGATACCCACGCTTGTGAGTTTCACATAAGCCTTTGCATGTAATAGAGCTTTGTCAGCAGTGACCTGGTACACAACTGTCATCTATGTTTCACATTCAAAGGATGTGAAAGAATCAGCAATCTCTCTCTCCTTCTCTCTCTTCCTCCCTCCCTCCTGACCTCCCCTTTTCCTTCTCTTCTTTTGTCTCTGGAACCCGTGCAATATATCACAGAAGAAAATAGTCAGGAAACAAATAGTTTGGAATCAAAGATGCCCTGTTAACAGAAAGAGCAAATATCAAGATTCATAGTGTCTCAGTATTCAAAGCAGCAGAAAATTCTAATAGCCTCAGACAGATTGTGTTGTCTGGGAAGCCTGAACCCCAGAAGAGAGCAGTCTTGTGAAAGAGGGGAAACAAAGGCTTTTCAAGCACCCCGGAATTGCTTGGAGACCTAAACATACCCTGGCAAAGTTATAAAGTTGATTTCTTCGAAGGGTTACCCGGAAGGGCCACCTGAGGACAGTTGGCCACTTGCCCTTATGTGTTAACTATTTTAAAGAAGATAATTAGGAAAAGGCCAGTAATTAGTTATTGCTACATAATGCTTTAACATCAAAGACTTACAGAACCCAAATTTTAATTTTGATAAAAATGGTTAAGGGAGGAGGTTTAAAATGTTGGTTCGCAATATGCAAAGAAACATTTGCTTGCTGCATTTAAACTGCTCCTTTGGGCTTACTTTAAGAACTCTAACATGTTGGGTAGTTATTCCATAATTTCAAAGTGGTTAACAATTAAATTCTAACCTCAGTACGTGGAACATTATTGAATAACATGACCTTAATCTAATTTTAATTTACTGCTTGGAGCTTTTTAAAATACCAGCAATGTTTAAAAATGCTTTTTACATATAGGTAACTAAATTTCCCGAGTAACTAAAATAGCAACAAGATTCACAACGAGGGAAAATTTAGCGTTAATATCGAAGCCAGAATGCTAACAAACTCCAAAACAGTGAACTATTGCAAACTTTTAAAATAAAAGCAAGGACAGTTTGTTTTCAGGGGTCTACTTGGGAAAGTGGTGATTTATAGCATGCCATCTGATTTCTGTTTGTGCCAAGAGTTCTTCCTTTCTTTTCCCCTTTTACAGGGGCAACAATAGGGGCATGTTTAATATTGATGAGTTTGACCTCCTGGGAATTATAGTATATGCACCCCTTTAAAATACAAATTCTGTTTTATTTATATGGTAAACACATAGAATTTTGGAGCTTAGCATTTTAATCAACTCTAATCTCTCAGTATTTTCTGGTTCTCCCACGTCGCCAGTATGTCAAGGAAAAAAAAAAAGTTAAAATGAACTTTTGAAATGAAGGCTAATTTTCTCCTACGGAGATGCAAGGTCTGCACGAAATATAAAAGCAACCCTATGTGTAGTAACCCTTCCTAAACTATCCGATCAAGCACGTAACAATGCTAATGATCAATTCTTAAAGAAAAGAACAATGCATTCATTTAACAAATATTTATTGAAGAGCCATGCTTTGGAAAGCAGGCGTGTGCATGGGGGTATCAGGGTATTGGTTTAGCACCTCTATACTGAAATCCAGCTGCAGCATTTCCTTGTTTAAACTTTCCCCTTTTGTCTAACTTTTCTCGTGGCCTGTCTGAGCTTTGAAGTTCAGTGTGCATCTTCCAGGGGATGAGCCCTTGGGGCGGGTACAATGCATTCAGTTCGCACAGTGGAGACTCCAGCCGCCGAGATAGAGGAAACGTTTTTCGCGCCCGGCAGGGGCGAGGAGCCGAGCGTGGGTGCAGCGGGCAGCGGGCAGCGGGCGGGGAGCCAGGCCCTGGCTGCATCCCGCGCAGCCATTGGCTGGCGCCGCGCGCTGCACTGAGCATGTTCGCGCCTCGCGGGTCCTGGGCTGCAGTCGCCGACGCAGCCACCGCGCATTGTGCAGAGCGGCGGCAGATGAGAGCCGGGGCAGTGAGACTCGCGTCGGCCTCCTTTTCCAGCGGCTCGCCCGGCAGCCTGACTGGCCCAGGAGACTCCCCCTGCCCGGGCCGGCGGCCCGGTAGGGCCAGGATGGCCTGAGTGCCCGGGGCGCGGCGGCGCAGCAGCTGGGGTGCAACATGGGGAACCAGGATGGGAAGCTGAAGAGGAGCGCAGGTGATGCCTCCCACGAAGGCGGCGGCGGCGGCGCGGAGGATGCTGTTGGGCCCAGAGATGTGGACGCCACAAAGAAGGGAAGCGGGAGCAAGAAGGCTCCGGGCAAGCACGGCAAGGGGGGAGGCGGCGGCGGCGGGGAGCCCGGCAAGAAGAAGAGCAAGTCGGACTCCAGAGGTTCGGTGTTTTCCAATCTTAGGATCAGGAAGAACCTGTCCAAGGGGAAAGGCGCTGGCGGCTCCCGCGAGAATGTGCTGGACTCCCAGGCCCTGCAGACCGGGGAGCTGGACAGCGCTCCCTCTCTGATCACCAAGACACCGGACCTCAGCCTCTCCGCCGACGATACGGGCCTGTCGGATACCGAGGGGGCCGACCCTTTTGAGGTGACCCGACAAGGTGGCCCTGAGCGGGCGGAGGCCGGGGTCGGGGGCCGGGCGGTCGCCGAGGATTTGGAAACTGCGGCAGGGGCGCAGGATGGACAAAGGACCAGTTCGGGCTCGGACACAGACATCTATAGCTTCCACTCGGCTACGGAGCAAGAGGACTTGCTCTCAGACATCCAGCAGGCGATACGCCTGCAGCACCTCCAGGGCGCCCAGGAGCCGGCAGTGCCCACCACTGCCGCCTCCCCACAGCCCGGGGCCTTCCTGGGCCTGGACCGATTCTTGCTGGGGCCGAGCGCCGTGGCTGGGGAAGCCCGCGCCAGTCCCGACACGGAGCAGGCGCTGTCTGCATTCTCTGACCTGCCCGAGAGCCTGGTCCCCGAGACCCCGGTGCCCGAACAACCGCCGCCCCCCAGCGGCCGCCGAGACTCCGAAGCGCCGGGCCTGCCGGTGGCTCAGCCACCGGCCGCGGACTCGCCCTCGTCCACCGTCTTCCAGTTTCCCGAGGCCGGACCCGGGGAGGGCGCGGCCGAAGGCCCTGTGCAGAGGGCTGGGGACACAGATGAGGAAGGCGAGGAGGATGCTTTTGAGGATGCTTCCCGAGGCTCTCCCGGGGAGGAGTGGGGCCTGGCGGTGGGAGAGGCCGCGCAGAGACTGGGGGACGAGCCGGAGGAGGGGGCGCGAGAGCCCGGGGCTCCCGCGGTCGCCTCCCTGCCCGGCAGCCCCGCGCCCAGCCCGCGCTGCTTCAAGCCCTACCCGCTCATCGCCCCTTGCTACATCAAGACCACCACCCGGCAGCTCAGCTCGCCCAATCACTCCCCGTCGCAGTCCCCCAACCAGAGCCCCAGGATCAAGAGGCGGCTGGAGACCTCCTTGAGTCGGGGACCCAGAGCTGCCTTCGCTTCCGCGGCTGCCCCGGCCAAGAAGCATCGGGCCGACGGCGGCCTCGCGGGCGGCCTCAGCCGCTCTGCCGACTGGACGGAGGAGCTGGACGCCCGCGCGCCCCGGGCCGGAGGCTCCGCACACCTGCTGGAGCGCGGGGCTGCGGCGGACGGCGGGACGCCCCCCGCGCTGGCAGCCCAGGCGTCCGGGGTGCAGGCGGCTGCGGATGGTTTCCAGAACGTGTTCACGGGTGAGCTCGCCCTGCCGCCCAGCCCTCGGGTCGTAAGTCGCCTGCCAATCAGAGCCTCCCCTTGCCACCCACCCTCCCCGGCTCTGAAAATCCATGACCTGCTTGTGGCCAGTCCCTTCCTCTTAGGGAATCCCGCTCCCCCGCTTAATGAAATCTCTATTTCCTAACTAGGTTTTAAAGGAACAACTCAGTCGTGTCTTTCCTAAGTCATCTCAAGAAAGAGCTGCTCTGTCTATTTCTCCAAAAGATCTGCTGTTCTCTATTGACCCTGGACATAGACTTTTTTTTTTTTTGTATCGTTAGCTGAGCCGTCATTCTCTTTCCTACCACATGCCCATCCACAGCATTGAAAAGAACAGATTTGGTCATGGTCCTTTGAAAAGTGTCAGCGTGGAGAAACAAACCATTTATTTTGGTGATCTATCCAAAGGTGGTCTCTGACTGCCCTAATACATATGCGTATCTGTGGGTATGGAATAGCAGTTTCTGTTTTGCAGCAGTCTGGGTAGACTACTTAGTCAGCTAAGTGGTCACTCCTGTTTTCTAATGTAATCAAATTAATACACACTATTAGAAAACTGATAAATAATGAAGTAGAATATTGGGGATAATTTTCATTTTCCTAATATTATGCTTTTATGGTCATCAAAGCATGGTGTAGATTGGAGCTAATGAAGGTGGGAAGGCCCCAAAGCGCAGTTATCAAACTGGTACCTCTCCTTAGCGTTTGTTATACACTCTCATAGGCTCCAGAAACCCAGCTAAAGGATCAGTTTACCGTGGCAAATGCCAAGTAGTATAATGAGTTTATCCTTTCTTATAGGCTTATAGGTTCCAAGGCTTTTTACCTTAAGAGCCCACCGATAGATAGAATGTCAGTTCGTTTCATACTTACTAACTTCTACTTTTACTTATTAAGTGAAATGTTGAGTATAAAAATGTACGGAGTAG